TGCCTTTTGGGTGGCACAGTGGCCCATTTGTCCCATCCACCCCCTGACCCTCCACGTCCTTGTACTCCATGCCTTTTGGGTGGCACAGTTGCCCATTTGTCCCTTCCACCCCCTGACCCTCCACATCCCTGTACCTCGTACTTTTTGGGTGGCACCTTCAGCAGCCCCGGCACTCACGTCCCCTTTCCCACTGGCCCTTTTCTGGTATCCCCTGGTTTCTTCCCCTGGAGCCTGACAGACCCTCCTCCTTTGGGTACCCCTACTCTGCCGGGGGTGCAGAGCTGCTGGGCCGCTACCCGGAGGAGGACAATGACGCGTTCCCGCTGCCCGAGTCGGTGCCCGTCTTCTGCCTGCCCATGGGGGCCACCATTGAGTGCTGGCCCGCCCAGACCAAGTACCCCGTGCCCGTCTTCTCCACCTTTGTGCTCACGGGTGCAGCTGGTGATAAGGTGGGTGTCTGGAGCGTGGCTCGGGGCCCAGGCTACGCGGGGCCAGCCTGACCACCCTCTCTCTGCCCCCTGCCAGGTGTATGGTGCCGCCCTGCAGTTCTACGAGGCGTTCTCGAGGACCCGGCTGTCGGAGCGGCAGGCGCGGGCCCTGGGCCTGCTGAGCGCCGTCGAGCGGGGCCGGGCGCTGGGGGGCCGGGCGGTGCGCAGCCGTCGTGCCATCGCCGTCCTGTCCCGCTGGCCTGCCTTCCCCGCCTTCCGGGCCTTCCTCACCTTCCTTTACCGCTACTCCGTCTCAGGCCCCCACCGCCTGCCCTTGGAGGCGTGAGCAGGGCTCCCGGGGACTCTGGGAAGGGGTTGTAAGGGGGCCGGGAGGCCAGGAGAGATGGCAGAGATTAGGGTGGTTGTGGATGGAGGGGTGAGGAGCAGAGCTGCTGTGTGTGGCTGGACAGTTTATCCATTGCAAAAACGCCCCCGGCTGGAATCCAGTCGGCACTTTCCAGCTAAGTCCTGGCTTCAAGGGGCTGTATGTGCTCAGAGGGGAGCTCTTGGATTTGCGCGCAAGCTCTGTACAGTGGAGGCTCTGATGGCTGATGCGGGTCTGGAGGTGGGGTTCAGGGAGAGATTAGGTCCCTGAGGAAAAGTGAGAAAATGTGGGGGAGGTAGGACAGAGGTAGATGGGGGGTCTGCCTCTGACCCGTTTCCCTCCCTCCCCCAGGCACATCTCCCACTTCATCCACAACGTCCCCTTCCCTTCCCCACAGAGACCCCGAATCCTGGTGCAGGTGAGAGCTGAGGCTGGGCCGGGCTGGGTGGGAGGAGGGAGTTGGCCATTAGCATTCTGACCTGTGGTTCTTCTGCCCTCCTAGATGTCTCCCTATGACAACCTGCTCCTTTGTCAGCCTGTATCCTCACCCCTGCCCCTCAGGTATGTGTGCAGATTGTGGGGGGGCGGGGGGGTTGATGACCGAGGACATGATAGGGGCCGGGCTGGTGGGTGCAGCCGGTCTACACAGGCTGGGCCCAGGTGATGTCTGTGCCCTGCGCCTGGCGAAGGGGTCTCTCTAGTCTCCCGGTGACCCTGCCCCACCTTGGCACTGCCCACAGCGGTGCCAGCTTCCTACAGCTGCTGCAGAGCCTGGGCCCTGAGCTGGCTATCACGCTGCTGCTGGCTGTGCTCACGGAGCATAAGCTGCTAGTCCACTCCCTGCGGCCGGACCTGCTTACCAGCGTCTGTGAGGCCCTCGTCTCTGTGAGTGCCACCCTGCCCGCCCACCTTCCCCAGACCGTTCTTTCTGCGGCCCCCTCCCTTCCCTTCCTGGACCCTTCCCCTTTTCCTTCTTTGGGGAGGGTGCCGTTTCTCCGGGCACCACCTACAGGGACGGACATACAGCTTCCGCTGGGGGCTCTTCTTCGGAGGCTAGTCCCAGCAGCTTCTTCTAAGCAGGCGCACCACCCTGCCCTGGCCGGTGCCCACTCTCCTGCTCCCGCACTGCTGCCCCGAGCCCTGCTCACTGTTCCCACTCCCTGGTGCTTCAGATGACCTTCCCGCTGCACTGGCAGTGCCCCTACATTCCGCTGTGCCCGCTGGTGCTGGCAGACGTGCTGAGTGCCCCAGTGCCCTTCATTGTGGGCATCCACTCCAGCTACTTCGATCTGCACGACCCGCCTGCTGATGTCATCTGTGTCGACCTTGACACCAACACACTTTTCCAGTAAGAGGGCTGGCTCTCGCGCAGGGAACATCGGGAGGCATGAGGGCGCTGGCGCAGAGCGCTCCCTGCTCCACAGGAGCCAGGCCGAAAGTGGGGGAGACTGGCCAGGAGGTGGGCCGACTTCCAGCCTCCTCAGCCTTCCTTCCTCATGCTCCTGTTCTAGGACTGAGGAAAAGAAGCCCCTCTCCCCTCGGACCCTGCCCCGCAGGCCCTACAAGGTTCTGCTGGCCACGCTGACAAACTTGTACCAGCAGCTGGACCAGAGTGAGAAGCCTGCGTGGGGCTGGGAGGCTGGGACTCTCTGGGACCTTAAACCTCCAGTTAGGGGCCTTGGGGGAGCTAGACATCACTTGAGGTTAGAAGAATTAGGATTCAATTCGAATTTAAGCAAGGGGGAGGGGCGTGCAGTATTCCTGGAGCACGCTGGGAAGGCTGAGCTTGTCACTGGGGAGGCTTGAAGTGGTTACCTGGACTTAAGTTTTTAGCTGATACTGGTGAGGTCTGTCAAAGGCTAGAGATGGTGGGGCAGTGGCAGGGATGTCTGTGTGAGAGCAGGGTTGAGGAAAGCACTACCGTGCCAGCCCTGACTACTCCGGCCCCCAGCATATACTGGACCCGAGGAGGAGGCCTCCCTGGAATTCCTGCTGACAGACTACGAGGCGGTGTGCGGCCGCCGGGCCCGGCTGGAGCGCGAAGTCCAGGGTGCCTTCCTCCGCTTCATGGCCTGTCTGCTCAAGGGCTACCGGGACTTCCTGCGCCCACTCACCCAGGCCCCGTCTGAGGGGGCTCGAGATGTGGACAACCTCTTCTTCCTGCAGGGTAAAGAGGGCCCGTCTCTGCTTGGGGAGGGTCTCACTGGGAGGGAGGGGACACCTGGGAGGACTGGAGCCACACAGCTGCTTGTTCACTCAGCAGACACCGCTTTGAGCCAGACCCTTTGCTGGGCTTGGAGGGCGGAAGGGACAACAATGACCCAGCTGTGGCCTGCCCTCTGGGAACCCTGGGCTTGGGGTGGACAGAGACAGTGACGGGGGGTGAGCAGCCCTTGGAGACCCACCAGTCTGAGGCAGTGGGTGCAGACAGACAAAAGGGAGGGCTCCACGGGGCCATGGTGCCAGGGAGGCTGAGCTGGTCAGCTTGGTGTGGGGGGCAGATGAGCTAGAGGGGCCAGAGATGACGGCTTTGATGGCCTCGTGTCCTGTTAGGATCCTGAGTGGGCAGGGAGCCAGGGAAGGGGGTGGGGAAGAGTGTGCCTGGGGTGGGGACCCTGGGGTGGGGACCCTGGGGTGGGGACCCTGGTAACTTCTGTCCCATTCTCTTCCTTCTCAGGCTTCCTGAAGTCCCGGGAACGGTCCAGCCACAAGCTGTACTCTCAGCTGCTGCACACGCAGATGTTCTCGCAGTTCATCGAGGAGTGTTCTTTTGGCTCTGCTCGGCAAGCTGCCTTTGAATTCTTCGACTCCTATGTCGACAAGGTATTGGGCATTGTTCCTTCTCCAGGCACCCACTGGCCTCTGCCCTCTTCCCAGCTGTGTGTTGCCCCAGGGCCACCGCACAGCACAGATCCAGATCTCAGCAGGGAGGAGCTGGCGCCCTGGACTTGTCCAGCGCACAGCCCGTGCAGCCGTACGAGGCTGGCTTCCTACGGCTGCCGTACCATCGTCCCAGCTATGTCCCCAGGTCCCAGGGGGAGTCTGGGCACGTGTGCTCCTTCTCTGTGGATGTGCTCTCCCTAGGGGATGTCATCTTCTGGACACCCTGGGCCCTGCGCCACGCCCACTCTCTTACCACCCTGCTCCAGGTCCACCCAGAGCAGGAGAAGCCTGAGCTGACGCCCTTGGTGGAGCTGGAGGAGCTGTCGGGAAGTGAGCTCACCGTCTTCATCACCCCGCCTGAGGAGCCTCCAGTACCAGAGGGCAGCGACTCTCCTCCTCTGTACTGGTGAGAGCTGTTTGTCCCCTCACTTGTTCTGGGGCCCCAGGGGCTGGCCCAGCCCGGCATGTTTGGCCCCGTGCTGACCGCCCCTGATGTCGCCCCTCTCTGCCCCCCAGCTACGACGGGTTCCCGGAGCTACGGGCGGAGCTGTTTGAGTCTCCACAAGAACAAGCCGGCGCCCTGCCTGTGCCGGGCCCATCCCGCAGTGCCCCCAGCAGCCCCGCGCCTCGCCGTACCAAACAGGTAACCAGCAGGTGGGCGCCCCAGAGGGACCTGGCTCAGGCTGAGGGCTGCTGCTTCAGTTTCCTCGTCTGTAAAATGGGGATAATAATAGGACCCATCCCGCGAGGCTGTTAAACCACCAGTGGCCGTCAAGTTGATTCTGACTTGTGGCAATGCCACGTGTGTCAGAGTTGAATTGTGCTTCATAGGGTTTTCAATGGCTGATTTTTTTTTTTTCATAAGCAGATCACCAGGCCTTTCTTCTGAGGTGCCTCTGGGTGGACCTGAACCACCAACCTTTTGGTTAGCATTAACTGTTTGTACCACCCAGAGAGTCCGTAAGGTTGTTAGGGTTTAAATGTGCCTGGTGCATAAAACACATTGTGTAAACCCACTGCTGCGGTCGTCTTCCTCCTGCGAGCACTCTGGGATCTAGGGGCTGGCTGCCTCCTCCAGGGCACCTGTCCATGCTCAGGGGCTAGGCATCTCCGCCTGGGCTCCGGGGTGAAGGCCGTGATACCGCATCCCCCCTGCTTCCTCAGGGGCCTCCAGTGGGTATGGACCTCTCCCCACGCCATTTAAGCCCTGAGGCCTGGCATTGCACTCACCTGGTGCACCCCCTGCCCCACCAGGAGCTGAAGGTTGCGCAGCGGACGGCCCAGAAGTCAGCAGGCGTGCCCGAGCTGTGGGCCCGGTGCCTGCTGGGGCACTGCTACGGGCTGTGGTTCCTGTGTCTGCCAGCCTATGTGCGGGCGGCACCCTCCCGGGTGCGGGCGCTGCACACGGCCTGCCACGTGCTGCGCCAGATGGAGAGCCGCAAGGTGGTGCTGCCCGACGAGGTAGGCAGCCAGGTGCCCGCTCGCTGTGCCCACAGTGAGGCCTGTGCAGTTGGGGGGGGTGACAGGCTAGCTTGGTGGAAGCTGTGGGGTCGAGGCAGGCGGGGAGCGGTTCCGGGCGGATGCTCCACGGACATTCCCTCCAAGAATGAGCATGGTCAGGGCAGTGAAGCCCGCCGGGTGGCAGGTCAGCAGGTGGTCCTGAGGCAGCCTCCAGCACTGCCAAGGCCTGTCAAGTCTGAGAGCTGGGCGAGGGCGGGGGGGCTGGAAGAGGGTGTTAGCTGAGCCTGAGGGTTAGGGTCGGGGTGAGCACCCCCATCATCTGCCTCTCTCGGCCCAGGTGTGTTACCGGGTGCTGATGCAGCTCTGCTCCCACTACGGGCAGCCCGTGCTGTCTGTGCGGGTCATGCTGGAGATGCAGCGGGCGGGTATCGTGCCCAACACCATTACCTACGGCTACTATAACAAGGTACGGGACCCGGGACGGGGCCGGGGTGGCAGCCAGGTGCGCGTGTAGGGAGGATGCTGTTCCTTGACCCCTGCGGCCCCCATGGCTCCGTGGAGACCGAGCCCGGGCAGTTCAAATAGGTGCTGTAACGCGTCTGCACTGTGCTCAGGCACCGTTGTAAACACGTGCAGAGATCAAACCCGCTGCCCTCGCGTCTGGCTCACAGCAACCCTACCGGACAGAGCAGAACTGCCCCATGGGGTTTCCCAGGCTGTAATCTTTATGGAAGCAAGACTGCCACATCTTTCTTCCGAGGAGCTGCCGGTGGGTTCTAACTGCTGACCTTTTGGGTGGCAGCTGAGCACTTTAACCACTGTGCCACAAGAAAACCAAAAGAATCAACCCGTTGCCGTCGAGTCGATTCTGACTCACAGCGACCCTATAGGACAGAGTAGAACTGCCTCATGGGATTTCCAAGGAGCAGCTGGTGGATTTGAACTGCCGACCTTCTGGTTCGCAGCCGAGCTCTTAGCCACTGCATCACCAGGGGTTCCTTTAACTACGTGACGCTTTTTAATCATTTTATCCTCACAACAACCCCGTGGGGGGATGACTACTACCCCCATGTTAGAGATGAGGAGATAAAGTTGCAGAGAGGTCAGTAACTTGTCTGAGATCCCACACTGAGTAAGTCAGGGAGTGTGAGTTTGGGGGTGGGGGGTGGGATGGCAGCCTGTCCCCGGAATCACATCTCCCGAATGCAGTCTCTTAATCGTGACACTAAACTGGTTTCCATTTTTTAGATGAGGAAACTAGTGAGCAAACAGTGAAATCAGCCATACAGTTTATGAGTAGCAGAGTCTAGATACGAACTTTCTCCACGGCTTCTGGCTTCCTCTGGGCCCTTCCAGAGACATCTGCTGCCTGCCACCCTGTTCCCAGCCGAGCCCCTGGCGGGACAGTCCTAGGCAGGCTGTCTGGAGGTCATGCTGGGGGCAAGGTGTGGAAGTAGGCTGTCCTGACAGGCACTCTGTTTGGCAGGCTGTGCTGGAGAGCAAGTGGCCATCTGGCACACCGGGTGGGCGCCTGCGTTGGGCCAAGCTCCGGAATGTCGTCCTGGGGGCTGCTCAGTTTCGCCAGCCACTGAGGGAGAGGCAGCAGCAGCAGGAGGCGGCACAGCAAGAGGCAGGCAGCTCCCAGACAGGTGGGGAGGGGCGGGGAGACAGGGAGGGAGGGGCGGGGAGACAGGTGGGGAGGGGTCTGGGGAGACAGGTGGGGAGGGGCCAGGGACACAGGCTTGAGGACAGAGTAGCCAGGCTCAGGCTGGGAGAGCATGAGGAGCTGGGGCTGGCCTAGGGGCTGGCAGTGGGTGTTCTCGGAATGGATACACTATACCTGGCTAGTAACAAAGGGACAGAGTTCTCCCTGGGAGGGCCCCCACAAAGCCAGGTCCATCCAGGGAGCTCTGCTCTGGAATAGGGGGCCAGGTCCCTAGCTGACTGTCTCTGAACCCCTCTCTGGCATTCACAGATCCCCACCTGGAGCACCCCTCTCCCACCCGTCCCCTTCAGCGGCAGACTACCTGGGCTGGGCGCAGCCTGCGGGACCCCGCCTCCCCCACGGGGCGCCTGGTGAAGAGCAGCAGCCTGGGCAGTGCCCGAGGGGCACAGCCCACTGTGGAGGCCGGCGTGGCCCGCAGTGAGTGCCCTCGTCTGCGCCCCCTTAGTCAGCTTTCGTAACCACTTGCTCGTGAGAGGGCCGGCTGGAGGGTGGCCCTCCGTGGTGGGCACTGCGGACTCAGAACCTTGCCCAGAAGGTTGTCATGGGGGGGGGGCGGTGCTAGAGTTTGGGGGCGGTGCTAGAGTTTGTGCAGCCCGGAATTGTTTATTCAGGAAAGGGGCAGCTCATGGAGGGGCTCGGCTCTCTCATCCCTGATCCTTTCCTGCCCTGCAGTGATCGAGGCCTTGGGGGTCCTGGGACCTCGGGAGTCTCCTGTGCCCTGGCAGGATGGAAGCCTCTCAGACCTGAGCCTGACAGGGGAGGAGCCAGCACCGGGAGGCAGCCCAGGAGCCCTGCGCTCTGCCCTGAATACCCGGTCCACTGAGGCCCTGGAAGGGCTGAGTGGGCGGGCGTCCAAGGCTGCTGGGCGTCAGGATGAAGCAGGCACCCCCCGACGGGGGCTGGGGGCCCGCCTCCAACAGCTGCTCACTCCTTCCCGCCGCTCCCCAGCCTCCCGCACCCCGCCACCTGAGCTGCCCCCTGAGCTGCCTCCCCCAGCCCGCCACAGCCCTATGGACAGCCTTCTGCGCCCCCGGGAGCGCCCTGGATCTACTGCCTCCGAGGTAGCCAGGGAGGGGAGGGCCTGGATGTCTTTGCCCCAGGAGGCGGGCGCCCTGAGGGTGGGCAAGCAGCATCCTGAGGGGCTGGCTGACTGCGCCTTCTCTGGTAATGGCAGAGCTCAGCCTCTCTCGGCAGCGAATGGGACCTCTCAGAATCTTCTCTCAGCAGCCTGAGCCTTCGCCATTCCTCAGAGCGCCTCAGTGACACCGCTGGATCCTTCCAGCCGCCTTCCCTGGAAGTGAGGATCACCCCCCTCACACAGATGTGCGCTTGCGTGCGCATGCACGCACGCACACACACAGACACACACACAGACACACGCACACCCACGCACACCCACGTGCGCGCACACACACACCACACACACACACAGACATGCACACCCACGCGCGCGCACACACACGCACCCACGCACACACCCACGCGCGCACACACACCACACACACACACCACACACGCACACCCACGCACACACCCATGCGCGCACACACACACCACACACACACAGACACACGCACACACCCACACCCACACCCACCCACCCACACACACACACACACCCTGTCCAAGGAAGAGGGTGGAGAGGAGGTGGAAGGAGCTGGCTGGGGATGTGGAGGTGGGAGGGGTCAGGGAAGATGCACAGGCTCCAGGGTGCTGGGGGCCGAGCAGGGCCTACCGCTTGGGGTCTTCCCGCCTACAGATTTTGCTGTCTAGCTGCTCCCTGTGCCGCGTCTGTGACTCGCTGGTGTACGATGAGGAGATCATGGCTGGCTGGGCACCTGATGACTCCAATCTCAACACAACCTGCCCCTTCTGCGCCTGCCCCTTTGTGCCCCTGCTCAGTGTCCAGACCCTTGATTCCCGCCCCAGGTGCCCAAGGCAGGGCCCGTGCTGTGGGTGGGACAGGAAAATGGAGGTCGGAGAGCCGACCCCTTCTCCTTTCCCACCCCCGCAGTGCCCCCAGCCCCAAGCCTGCCCCTGCTGGTGCCAGTGGCAGCAAAGATGCTCCCGTTCCCGGTGGCCCTGGCCCTGTGCTCAGCGACCGCAGGCTCTGCCTTGCCCTGGATGAGCCCCAGCTCTGCAATGGGCATGTGGGGGTAAGGGCTGGGCCCAAGGGCCATGAGGAACGCGGGTGCAGCACCCTGTGGGGGAGACCCAGCGCCACTGGGGAGAGATGGGCATTGAGGGCAAGGGGCACCCCAGAAGCTGTCAGACATAATGGCTCAGCGGGAGGCAAGGCTCTGGGGCTGGAGCCATGGTACCTGCCCTCCACGGTCAGCTCCATCTCCCTCCCGACAGGGTCCCTCTCGGCGGGTCGAGGGTGGGGCATGGGCGTACCTCAGCCCCCTGGTGCTGCGTAAGGAGCTGGAGTCGCTGGTAGAGAACGAGGGCAGTGAGGTGCTGGCCTTACCTGAACTGCCCACTACCCACCCCATCATCTTCTGGAATCTTCTGTGGTATTTCCAGCGGCTGCGCCTGCCCAGTATTCTGCCAGGCCTGGTGTTGGCCTCCTGTGGTGGGCCGCTGCCTCCCCAGGTTTGTGCCCTCATGGGGACCCTGCTTCCTGAGTGCTCCCCTCCTCATCCCCCAGCACTTGGTCCTCAGGTGTCCCATGTCCTCCACACAGAAAGAGCACAGGCTTTGGAGTCTGTGGTACTTGGTTTGACGCCTGGCGCTTTCACTTGCCCTCGGTTTCATGCTGAGCCTCAGCTTTCTCATCTGTAAAATGGGGGCACAAGCACCCACCTCACAGGGCTGCTGGTAGGACACCTTGCGTAGTGGCTCTACCTAGACGATGATCAGCATTCGCTTATTAAGCCCCTCCGTCAACATCTACTGAGCGCCTGGTAGGCTGCAGGCGCAGTGTTTAGACACCAGAGATGGAGCAGAACAAAGTCCACGCTCTCCAAGAGCTGACGTTCTGACGGGGGGGCGGGATGAGCGTTCCTTTCCTTCTCTCTGACTGTGCCCTGTAATGCTCCTCTGTCTCTGGGAACACCACTTGTGCATCTCCTGTCCCCGTCTCCCGTCCCATGAGTCTCACTGTCTCCTCTCTCTTGTCTGCCCCCAGGCCCCACCTCCCTGGCTAAACCCTGACCCAGCCTCCGTGCAGGTGCGGCTGCTGTGGGATGTCCTGACCCCTGACCCCGGCAGCTGCCCGCCTCTCTACGTGCTCTGGAGGGTCCACAGTGAGTCTGGGATTTGGCCTCGGGCCGGGGTGGAGGGTCCCACGCCCGGAGGGCTCCACGATCCTGGCCCCCTTCCTCCCTTTCACTCAGGCCAGATCCCCCAGCGGGTGGTATGGCCAGGCCCAGTACCTGCGTCCCTTAGCATGGCGTTGCTGGAGTCGGTGCTGCGCCACGTCGGACTCAATGAGGTGCACAAGGCAGTGGGGCTCCTGCTGGACACACTAGGGCCCCCGCCCACTGGCCTGCACCTGCAGAGGTAGGCTGCTGTCCTCTGGGAGGTCCCTCGCCTGTCCCAAGCTCCACACGCCCTCTCCCTCACTCACCCCCGTTTCTGCTCCAGAGGCATCTACCGAGAGATCTTGTTCCTGACAATGGCTGCCCTGGGCAAGGACCACGTGGACATAGGTGACAGAGCAGGCGGGGTTGAGGACTTTAGGGACCTGGGTCCAGGATGGGAGACTGGGGTCCTAATGCATTGGCCTCCACTCTCTTCCCTAGCCGCCTTCGACAAGAAGTACAAGTCTGCCTTTAACAAGCTGGCCAGCAGCTTGGGCAAGGAGGAGCTGAGGCAGCGGCGGGCGCAGATGCCCAGCCCCAAGGCCATTGACTGCCGCAAATGTTTTGGAGCACCTCTGGAATGCTAGGGACCCTCAGCTTCCTGCTCTAGCCTTGGGGTGGGGTGGGGAAGAAAGGATTCTAGCGACAACCTGCTTCCCTGCTCCCCTCATAGAGGAGCTGGGAACAGGCTGGCAAGCGTGCCTAGCCATAGGCTCCAAGTTGGGCAGCAGGAAGAGGGACCCACTGTTACCCAAAGTCCCCGTTCCCTTATCTCTGACCTGCCCGATTTGCTCATGCTGATGCTGGGGGAAGCCTGGAGGGAGTTGGCACAGCTCTGTTTCTCCCCTGTCCTCTACCAGGAACCCACCTTCCTCTACCCCTGCCCAGGGTACCCACAGATCTGCACTGCCCTGGTCATTTTAGAAGTTTTTGTTTTAAAAAACAACTGGAGAGATACAGAGCTGTTGAGCCTTTGCCCCGAATACGGGGGAGGGATTCCTCATGATAACGGCCCCTCTTCCCTGGCACTGCTGAAGGAGCCCAAGGCACCCTATGCCTTCCTACCTTAGTGTTTGTATTTTATTTTAAGTTATTTATTCCGGAGCCACAGCCTCCTTGCTTATGAGGTTCTCACGGAGGGGGAGCAAGAGAAGGGAAACGGGGCACCATGGTCTGGGTCTGGTGGTTTACAGCTCCTGGAAGGTCAGGTGATGGGAAATGGAGAAGTCCCAACCCCCCTTCGGGAGAACTGGTGCCCCCTCCAGTCCTAATCCTTGTCCACTCCTCCTTGGGGTATGCCTCACCTACCCAGGACCCTGACTTGTGCAATAAGGATTGTTCCTTGCGAAGTTTTGTTAGATGTAAATATAGTAAAATCTGCTTCTGTCTTTTTCCTGCTGCCTCTTATTCCATGGGACTGGGATAAGGGAGGGGACACCTCTTTGCCCCACTGCACATCCTCCTTTCCACCCTCAGGCATACCCCACTTTCCCACCCAGGTCTGGAACTGGCCCCTTGGGGCACAGGGAGTTCTCGGGGCAGGAGAGGGGTGAATCCTGCGCTGGCTATGGTGGTGCCAGTCTGTGTGGCACTTCCGGCCCTCCCACACAATCACCCCCTTGTCCCTCATCTGTGCCCACACAAAGCCTCCATTCTCTGGGGGACTTGAGCTCATCTCTGCCTTCTTTCCCCCAGCCTCCCCTCCAGCTTCTCCAGTACCTCCACAGGGCTGACAACCCTCTCCCGGGTAGTCGGTGCTGGCAGACCTGGCGCATGCCCGGGGCCCTGGCGGTCATCCTCAGCCGCCTTAGTTATTTTAGCTGCAGGCAGTGCTCCTCCACCTAGGGTCTCAGCCTGGGAACAGCTGCAGGGAAATGGGGGCAAAGATGAAGGGGCTTGCTGCATCTGGGCATCATTTTCCTAATCGCTCTGGCCCGCTGGAATTTCTCCTTCCTCTCTCTGTCCTGTGTAATGAAACAAACACAGGAAACACCTCCTACCAGAGCTGCAAAACCAATTACCAAAGGGAACTCGCCAGCGAAACAGAAGTGCCTTGGGGGAGCCGGGTGGGAGTGTCAATAGAGGAAATAACTTATGTGAGCCTCAAGGGCAGAACTGGGGCGGGGGAGCGGGATCAGTGGGGGAAGAGAGGTACCGCTTCTGAACACTGCTGGGGGAACTTCAAGCCAGAGGACTCTTCCCCATCCAGTGTTGAGCATGGGAGGATGCTTGTCTCGTGTCCTAGAGGATCTGCAGAGGAGGGAAGCAGGGGCTTAGGAAATGCCATCTGTCTTGCCAGGGACTAGGAGATGCCTTCCCCAGAGGGGAACCCTTATGTCCCCCAGGTTCTGATAAGACCCCACTCCCCAGAATCAACCTCTTTCTGTATTATCCCCAAAGACCTTTTGAAAGAGAGCACTTGCCTTCCTAAAATCACGTTTCTGTAGAGTTCACTGTGCCCAACACTGTGCTGAAGCATCGGAAACTACCGAGAGAGTTTAGGGCTTAGTCCCACCTGAACAGAGGATATCATCTTACTGGTCTAGAGTACCCCTGGTTCACAAAGAATAATGATAATCACCCTGCCTCCCAGCTTATGCTTCTCATTTCTCGGCTTCCTTCTGGAGCGCTGCAGTCAGGTGGGTAGAGCTCCAAAATTCTTTAATCATGATAAAACAAAAAAACCCACGGCTGCCAAGTTCATTCCAACTGATAGCAACCCTACAGGACAGAGTAGAACCGCGCCATGGGGTTTCCAAGGCTGTAATCTTTACAGAAGCAGACTGCCACATCTTTCTCCCAGGGAGCAGCTGGTGGGTTCAAACCACTGACCTTTTCGGTTAGCAGCCAAGCGCTTAACCACTGTGCCACCAGAGGTCCTTTAACCATGATGGTATCTGGAAATTCCAAGAGCGAAGTGTAGGCATCTCTCTGTCCTGTGGCCTCAGGAGCTGTAGGAGAAGGATATGCCAAATTAACTCAGCCCAATTTCTCTTCCCAGACTTCAGCATGTATACGCTTGCATCTGACAAATTTGAGTCAAATCTTGTTCGTCAGTTACTAACACTATGATATCAGACAAGTTACTTAACTGCTCTGCCTCAGTTCTTTCTCATTGGCAAACTGGGGGGTCATTTAAAGATTACGTTATATAACTCCTGTGAAGTGCTAAGCACACTCCATAAATGTTAACTTCAAAAAGCAAAGAGTCAGTATTAGACAAAGGTCATGTCCGTGACAATACTGGCTTCACTTGTCTTCCTTAGAGCCGCATCAATCCATAGCCTCCATGGCCTAATTTACATTTTGTTGAAAGAGGCACTTGCTCAGGCCTCACCGGTATTTTCCTCAGGTTGGTCTCTTTCACCACGGTTATCTCAGGTCTCCTAGCGGCCCTAGAATAGTCTTTCAGACAGCAGAGAACTCACTGGACTGATGATGGGCCAAGTAGTAGGTTAGGGAAAGAGGAATGAACGCCCCATGCAAGCAAAGATTTTGTCTCATGCACTGCTGTATGCCCAGCACACGGAAGAGTGCCAGATAACATAATAGGTGCTCTATAATGTGTGTTCCCAGACTGAGAGGAGTCGGTGGAAGTATGAAAACGATGGGATTAGCAGAGAAGTAATTTTCAGTGCAGAACAAGACAAGTATCATGGATACAATACCAACAGAAGCTAGATTTGGAGCTAAAAGGATGAAATTGATGGACAAGTGAAGAAAATTCTCATAATACTTACTATTTATTACGTCTACCGGGTACTGTATCATTAGCACTGCTCTGAGCATTTTAAATGTACTATTTTATAAATCCTCACAATTACCCTATGAGCTAGGTACTATTATTCCCAATTTATGGAAGGGCATAGAGAATAGAGGTTAAGTATTAAGTAACTTGCCTCCAAATCCCACAACTGGTAAGAGGTAGAACCAATATTCAAACCCAGGTAGTCTGACTCCAGAGACCATGTTCTTTCCGTCGGCACTATACTAGAATGGAAACAGAAGGTTTTCACCCACTTCAAGTAAGAACTGGCGTGTGTCTGTGTGTGTTCTGTCTACCTATGTCTTTATGTGGCCATGTTCTCCCTAACCTTTCATTTCCATGGCACAGTATGACTTCTAAATGATTTGAGAAACATCTTCTAGTGCCTCTGGAACCAATTATTTCTGGGTTCTAACCACTGGTTGGTCACTGACTAGCTACCGGACCTTTGGCAAGTCACTTAAACTCCCTGAGCCTGTTTCCTAATTTACTTGGAAATTTCAGCTCTCCCACTTAACATGGGTAACTGCGGGCAAGTGATTTCACCTGTGCCTTATTTTCCTCATCTGCAAAATGGGATAACAGTACTTATTCCACAGCCTGATGAGGAATAAATGAATTAATCCATGTAAACCTTTTAGCACAGTGCCTGGCACATAGCCTCTTTCCCAGACCGTTAGCTACTATTATTCCCTCAACACAACACAGAGTAGCTCTGTGATACTTGGTTCCTATCTTCAACGTGCTCAATAACAATACCTTGTGGTAAATGCTCGAGAAACGTCAAGCGTTTAGGCTGACCTGTTTCGGGGAAGTAGGGAGACTAGCAAGAGGAGTTGGGTCTCGGGTAGATTAGGTGGCTTCGGCAGTGGGGAAGGCTGTTTCTCTCCCTTTGAACCTAACCAGACCAGGAGATCCTGAGAGAAGGGCTGCGAGGCCTCTGCACAGCATAATTCCTCATTAATTTGTGTAGCTGCCTTTTTTTTTTTTTCCTGTGGTCGTGCTTGAGTCACGACAGGACCGAGCAGAGGGACGGAGCCCAGGAAGCTCAAGCCCTTTGGCAGACAGAGACAGGCCACGCCCCAATTAGACAGCTAGGCCCAAGAGCCTAAAGGTAGTCCTATCGTGAAATTCTTGGATTCTGTCGCGATGAAACACCACGCATCGCAGAACTCAACGCAGTTCGCCAGACCCCATCTTTAGAATTGGAAGAAAGAGAGCGACCCCCAGGGGAATCCCGGTTTTGGGAGACTGGGGTACGGCGGCTGCCTGGGGACCAAAACGTCTCTAAGGTAAAGTTGCAGCCTGAAGCGATTTTTTGACCCCCGACACTTAATGGGCTGCTGAAGACCCGGATGTGTCTGGGACTGGCCGAAGTACCCATTAACGCGCCCCCGCTAGACCATCCCCCCTTCTGCGTTTTGGATTGGGTGGTAAGTACGCCAATCATCACTTCTTCAACCACTCACTCTCCAAGGGTGGGATGTAGTCTCGGCATCCCTTCTTCCATTGGTATAGCTGAGAAGAAGAGGGCGGGGAGGCCGGCTTAGGTCGCCCAATGGGCGTCGTGGCGTGTGGGGAAGGCGGAGCCGAGGCGCTTGGCAGCTGCCCAATCAGCGTCCTTGTTTGTGTGGTGCCGCCGCCGCCGGTGCAGCCGCCGCCGCCGCCGCTGCCCCCGTCTGTACCGC